TAGTTTTGAAGAACAAACTGGCAGTTCTATTCACAGAGGCCAAGGACAGTAGTTATTGTGAGGAGAATGGGGCAGCCATTTCAACTTATCTAAAAACAGTTTTGCATTTTATAAAATAGTTTTGCTCCGGTTCTGGCTCTAGGCCAGCACAATATCACATAAGAAAATATATTCCCTTTATATTTAAAAATATATGCACTTTTTATGATTGTGATTTTTCGTGTGCATCGAGTATTTGTTGCAATATATAATGCAATGTGTTCTTTGACATGAAAGAAAATGCTTCTACAGCAACATGCTAAATTAATGATGGATCTCGTGTCTACTTCATACTTCTGGGGAAAATGCTTTGTTAACACTTTGAATCTACTTTTATTGACAGCAAAGGTCAATTCAGTGCTCTTACTCTATATTGTTTCTTGGCAACTGTTTTAAAAACATAGTAAGCTTCTGGCTTGTTTTCTAATCACATTTACCCTGAGTCATCTGTTACACATCCCTTTATTTTGTAAGTTGATCCCCTTTTTAATTTAAAGCATGGTTTGATTTCTTATATAGAAGCAATGTTTGCATTTTGTTGGAACACTCCTTGAAGCAGTCTAAAGAATTGCCCTTTCTTGTTTTTATGTAGAGCATCTGGTGAACTTTACATTCTACATTCCAGATTTTGCTGAGTTTAATATTTTGTCCTTTAATTTATCCAAAACTTACATTTTCTGGCTTCCAAACATCTCTTTCTTAAATTTACTTACTTAATATTCTCTTACATCAGTAGCCAACTTTTTTACGGGGGTAAGGTGGAAGTGTATTTTCCACAGAGAATCAAAGAAAGTTTTATTATTTAATAACCCATTGGTCAGACCGTAGGAAGCCATGTTGAACCTAGAGTTTGGGCCGTTGTTCAGGGCCACTCACAGTAAAATCATACTCACATTGCATTCAATTTAATTTCTCCCTTTGCAAAACTAGACATTATTAAGATGCATAAAACTTTAGTGTTTCTTACATATTGCTAAAGCCATATGTGGTAAATATATGAATATAAAAACCAAAAGTAATTGTCTTAGTCTTTTTCTGTAATAGAATGCCAAAGACTAGGTAATTTATAACAAGGATAAATGTATTTCTCAGGGTTCTGGAGGCTGGGAAGACCAAAAACATGGTACTGGCATCTGTTGAAGGCCTTCTTGCTGCATCATAACATGGTTTAAAGGCAAGTGATCGTATGAGACAGCAAGACAGAGAGAGGAAATTGGGCCAAACTCACTTTCATGACACATAAACCCAGTCTCAATATAACTAACCCACTCCTGTGATAATGGTGTTAATCCATTCATGACGGAAGAACCCTCATGGAAACAGAAGGCAGCCATCTGCAGAGCCCTCATGACTTAATCACCTCTTAAAAGTCTCACCCCTTAACACCATTACAAAGGCAATTAAAGCTCAACATGTGTTTAGGAGGGGACATTCAAGCCATAGTGGTAATCCGTAGTTTAGAAGGTATACTGGTTTAGAACGCTAACTTTTTAAAAAATTTTTTTCTGAGACAGAGTCTTGCTCTGTTGCCCACGCTGGAGTGCAGTGGCATGATCTTGGCTCACTGCAACCTCTGCCTCTCAGGCCTTAGCAATTCTCATGCCTCAGCCTCCTGAGTAGCTGGTATTACAGGTGTGTGCCACCATGCCTGGCTAATTTTTTTGTATTTTTAATAGAGTTGGGGTTTTGCCATGTTGCCCAGGCTGGTCTTGAACTTATGACCTTGGGTGATCTGCCCACCTCGACCTTCCATACTGCTAGGATTACAGGCGTGAGCCACTGTGCCCAGCCTAGAATGCCAATTTTAGAACACATTTTTATAACTCATTAATCATAACAATAATCCCTAACAGCTATTAAATGTGCCCTACTCAATGTGCCCTACTCAACTCAGTTCAGGACTCAAAGTACTGAACTCAACATTTTCTACATATTAATGACCTTCATAACAGGTGTTTGAGGCAGGCAATGTTATTACTTTCATTGTAAACATGTATAGCCTGAATCACAGGAAAGTTAAGAAACTTCCCCAATATCACAATTTAAGAATGTACCTGAGATTTGTTTTAATTATGTATGGTAAGACATGCAGACATGGAAAGGACTGTCATGGAGGAAGACATTTTTACTCCCAGTTCCCTAGACACAGGAAGCACAGCAGGCCATGCAGGGCCACCTCGGGGAAGCACCACGGTCACTCAGGAGGCAGGAGGAACAGGAGGAAAGCACGAGCAAGAGTCTTTATTGTGGGTCCACAAGAAGAAACAAGTGAGGCCCGGTACATAGGCTTAGGATTGGCTAGTTTGAATAATTTCAGTGGGCTCCTGTGTGTAGGGACTGCCTCTGGTTTTCTGGTACCTGGGTCTGTTATGCTTAGGGCAGAAGAATAATGCCTTCCAGAGTGGAAAAGGCAGATAGAGGAGGAGGTTTGAGGTAAAGACTCTGGATTAGTTGGGTTGCATATGAAAGGCACACTTGCAGGGGAGTGGTCTGCTGTCTGTAAGAATGGGCTACCCCTGTCAGTGGAGCTCCAGATTCCAGAGCATCAAGAATACGAAAAATAGGCTGGGCTGGTGGCTCATACCTGTTATCCCAGCACTTTGGGAGGCTGAGGCAGTAGGATCACTTGACGTCAGGAGTTCAAGACCAGGCTGGTTAACATGCAAAATCCTGTCTTTACTAAAAATGCCAATATTAGCCAAGCGTGGTGGCACATGCCTGTAATCCCAGCTACTCAGGAGGCTGAGGCATGAGAATCCCTTGAACCTGGGAGTGAACCTGGAAGATGGAGGTTGCAGCCAGCCAATATCATACCATTGCACTCCAGCCTGGGCAACAGAGAGAGACTCCATGTAAAAAAAATAAAAAAAACTCCCAAAGTGCTGGGAAGAGAGAGAGAGAAAAATTTAGTTAATATGGTCACACAGTATAAATAATAGCAGAATATGGATTTCTTAGCATTTTGATCAAGGAACTTCTGAATCCACTTGGTTGATGCCAATGGATTCTAGACAATTCTAAAATGTGACAGATGAGGCTGGAGGGGTGGCTCATGCCTGTAATCCCAACACTTTGGGAGGCCAAGGTTGGCAGATCGCTTAAGCCCAAGGAGTTTGAGACCAGTCTGAACATCATGGTGAAACCCTGTCTTTTTGAAATATAAAAATTGGCTAATTTGGGAGGATGAGGCAGGCAGATTGCCTGAGCTCAGGAGTTTGAGACCAACCTGGGCAACATAGTGAAGCCTCTTTTGTACTAAAATAGAAAAAGTTGGCCAGGCATGGTGACCCGCCCCTGTAGTCCCAAATTCTCAGGAAGCTGAGGCACAAGAATTGCTTGAACCCGGGAGGCAGAGGTTGCAGTGAGCTGAGATTGCACCACTGCACTCCAGCCTGGGCAACAGAGTGAGACTCTGTTGCCACACACACACACACAAAAGTGCCAGATGGATTAAGATCCCTTCCAGTGTTATTTCCATATTCCTGTATGACTGAATGAAGAGTTTCAACAAGCTTTATAATGCTGCTCTAAAGCATTATTTGCCATTTGTTGGGTCCCAGCAGTGTTCTTGGTATGTCTTCACATACTGAGGTGGGGGCAGGGGCTGGTCTGCCCCCTTTGCTGTCAACTTTGCAGACTTTGGTTGATCGGCGTTGTGATTGTCATCAGCCTGGCTATGATGGACAAAAAGTTAATAGAGTCAAAGATCTTTACAGTTACATAAACCACTACAAAAATAATAGTCTTGACTTGCATTTCAATGCATAGCTTCAATAGATCAGTTGTAAAAGAGCCTTATACGAATTTATTTAAGTGACTTTTAAGCAAGAATGTTTATATATTTATGCTTTTCCCAGCTGTTTGCAAGATGCTGTAGAAAAAATTTTAAAAAATTGCTTTATGGCCGGGCGCGGTGGCTCACGCCTGTAATCCCAGCACTTTGGGAGGCCGAGGCGGGTGGATCACGAGGTCAAGAGATCGAGACCATCCTGGTCAACATGGTGAAACCCCGTCTCTACTAAAAATACAAAAAATTAGCTGGGCATGGTGGCGTGTGCCTGTAATCCCAGCTACTGAGGAGGCTGAGGCAGGAGAATTGCCTGAACCCAGGAGGCGGAGGTTGCGGTGAGCCGAGATCGCGCCATTGCACTCCAGCCTGGGTAACAAGAGCGAAACTCCGTCTCAAAAAAAAAAAAAAAAAAAAAAAATTGCTTTATTTTGTTCCCCAATTTGGGAGATACGGTGATCAGAAGGACAATAAATGAATGTCAAGCTTTGGATAATACAGACTAAAGGTACAATGTGAATTCAGATAAACGAATTTAGATTGCTTTGAAATGAGCTTAATCAGGTTATTTAATATCTTTGGGCCTTAGTTGTCTTATCTGTAAAATCAGAATAATTAATTTCCAGTACTGTCATGAAGTGTAAGTGAAATAATATATGAAAAATAATTAGCAGAGTCCTGACTTGTAGTTATAAATGAGCAAATAGGGCTGCAATTATTGTAAGTATTAAAGAGGAAGGTGCTAACAAGAACAGTGTAGGACAAACTCTAGATATCCATACAAAAGCTTTTCCCTACGCCTTATCTCTTATTTCATACTTACCTGCCTTGCAGCTTCCACTTCCCTTATGCCGGGTGAACTAGACCGTAATCTGATGTTTCCCTGTGCTGTGTCTCATATCGCGCCCCTTCTATGATGTAGCACTCAAGCACCTCAGTCTCTCTCGAAACATGCCACGGGTCACACTCCTTTCTCTGCTATTTCACTGTATTTTCCAAATATTACTAAAGGTGCCTATAGCATGAACCTATGGTTTAAATATTTGTCTCCTCCTAAACTCATGCCGAAGTGCTGAAATTTAATCCCCAGTGAGTCAGTATTGAAGGTGGGGGAGGGGGGACTTTAAGAGGTGATTGGGTCGTGAAGGCTATTCCCGAATGAAGGGGTAAATCC